TTGATTATATGGATGACATCCTCTGGGAACCCCAAAACTGATGCGCGCGTGCGAATAAGAAAAAAAGGTTTGCAAAAAAAAAAGTTGCTTTCACTATGAAATCTACGTGTTCATGAAGGTTGAACAAATGGCACAGAATATGTTATGGCGAATAATCTACTCTTCAAATTCATTTCTTTACATTTTTGTCTTTTTTCCTTTGATTTTGGCATTCTACGACATTGGTATGGTTTCTAAATGTTTTCCTTGCAACTTATGGTATATTTTTGCTCATTTAGCAACTGTTTTGCACGATTTACAGTATGGTTGAAAACTTTTTTTTTTTTGGAAACGGCCGAAAATTCATGCGCGCGCGGATGTCATCCATATAATCAAATCAACATGGCCTAACAACCAGAAAAGTTTCATATATTTGACAATAGGATAGACCATACTGAATATTTTTTCTGTGCTTGATGAAATAGCAAGTTGTGAGAGAGATATGTTAGCTATGATGTCAGAAGAACTAAAGCATACAGATTAAGTCTAAACATGAGACATCTCATACCACAGTTGAATTAGTATATGGTTAACACAACTTTTGGCTTGAGTGGCTGAGTATGATTCAGAATCCAGAATTTAGAGAGCATTTACTCCATAAGAATTGATTTCTTATAGGTTGATCATGTTTGTTAAGTTTAACCTCTTTTTGTATTTTTTCTAGCCTGAGCTGACTGCAAAGAACTTTCCCTCATTCTTCATCCAAGACAAACCATTTGTGATTCTGTTTGGAGGGAGGGGGGAAGAGCTGGAGTCTATTGGTCAGATTGCTGCGACGGAAGAACTTCCTGTTATTTTCTGCCAGATGAATGTGTAAGTGACAACATTTCTGACATGCTTGTGTATAGATTCCAAACAAAACTGACTGATTTTTGTAGAATATTTGGTCCATTTACTTAAACTTTGCAGGCACAGAATGCCATAAACTGGACAGAACAGCTTTACCATTATGTAGGATAGAATTGTTGTCTCTAGTTGGCAAATTCCTCAACATTAACATGTCCCTGTGATGTATCCATCAACTAAAGACACCAAACTACTGAATGAAGCATGTGATGGTAGTGTATATTGTTTCATTTCTTCCTTACAATCCTCTCCAGGTTCACTGCAGACTCCTTGGGAGCAGACCTTCTCCAGTCCTATGCACCAAACGCTGGTCTCCCTGCCCTGGTCATGATTCAGCACAAGACGGTGAGAGTGCAAGAACGTCCTTTAAGCGATGCAAATTTATTGTCTTGTGCTGTTGTAAAATTGCATTGAACACAGTGCATTTCCTGACCTGATGCATGTGTCCCTATAGGGAGGAGTGTTTGAGTACCCCTACCCTAATGACCTCTCCAAGGACAAGGTGACTTCCTGGGTCCGTGGCTGTGAGAAAGGCGACATCTTGGCTAACAGTGAGTCCAGTTGTCTCTGTCCTGCAACAGTTACTGTTAAACAATTTGAATTAGATCTTTGATTATATGAATACACATTGTAGAGAACTACAGCTTTATACCATTTAAAGGTTGTTAAATGTCAACATAAACAACAGAAAAACTACATATTGTAGCAAGACTTGACTAAGTGGCCAACATGAAAACTGACAGCAGGGAGCTTTCAACAGTTGAAAGCTCCTTGCTGACAGTTATTGTTTTATGTCAGCCTAGCATAGAACATGTTATGAAAGTCACATACATTGTACTGTACATATTACGGCACTAAGGCCAAGGACAGAGATGGATGGCGGAAGCTTGTACTGCACGCTACCACAGTCCCTGACCCTCCAGACGAGGATGGGGCAAGATGAAGGTGAAGACCTTTGCCTTTGGCTTCCTCTCGACTTATTAGTTCAAATGAAGCATTTTCTTTGTGTCTCCATAGGTGAACTAGAGGAGGAGCTGTGGGGTCCCATGATGCCTGGCTATGACTTCCTGACCTTCCTGGATGTAGAGGGAGACTCTGCCAAACAGAAGACAGATGTTCACGATCACGGGGAGTTTGTACAGTCAGACGAGCACGAGCCTGAAGATGAGGAGCCAGAGGAGTTGGAGGAGGACATCCCCACTGAAGGCTCCAGGCTCAGTAAACCTGAAGTCAAAGTTCACAAGCACACTGAGCACACAGAGCTTTGATGTAGATGTGATACAGTGTGCCGGCCTTGTAATGACAGATCAGTTTCAATGTTCCCCAAAGTCAGAGGACCAAAGAGTTAGGGCCGGTTAGCACGGGGCAAAATATCATTTGGCCTGCGTCGAACATGGTGCCGCTTCGTTCAGTGCAGGCCAAATGATATTTTTTGCCCTGTGTAAATCAGGCCTAAGTATCAATTCATTTATTTGCCACCTGTAAGCACTTAATTAGCATGTTAAAGTCACCAATTACACGTTAAGTGCAAGCAAGGATATTGTAGTGTAATCTATGCAAAACATTTTAAAGCTCCACTGGGCTCTTCCAAATTACAATTTTAGAACTCATTCAACACATTCCAGGTTCAGGGATAGCTAAGTCTGTACCATGTAAGTTATAAGGGCCTGGTGATCAAACTGAAAGTGCCTTAAGTTATTGTCTAGTACTCAATGATGTAGGAATTGACCAAGGTGGAGAGAAAATTTCGAGATATTGGTGATGAGTAGTGACAGATTGATTTTGATACAGGTTGGCATTTGGAATTTTGGATGTACATTTTCAGAATACAAGAACAGGGTGTGTATTTATTCAGTGAGGTGGACATATTCTATATTTTTGGAGAAGTTCTATTTTACAGAAAAAAATGGTTAATGTTTTTCAAGACTTGTGCAAAGTGTTTGTCTTGCTGGTGTTGCATTTGCTATTCCAAGGGTATAAGGTATCAGGAACAAACCCTTCTTATGCAGTATCTGATAGTGTGTAGTTTGAATGTTGGTGTAGTCTTATTGCTCAGAGAAAACAATAGTAATGCACAAAACACACAGCATTTTGGCTGCTTTTACAATGCACCAATGCAAGCAGGTCTCACTACCCAGAAATGTAACAAATTGGCAAGATATAGAGATTAGACCAGGTAACAAACATATTAGTACTACAGACATACAGTATATGGAAGTATGGTATGGTGCAATAAAGTGTGTTAAAAGAACGGAGTGGTCTTCTTGTGATTATGTGGAATTGTGGATGTTGTTTCTGGCAGTTGTGCATACCTCCCCTGGTATGGGAATGGTATGTGAAAACATACCTTTAACTCTAATGCATGTCATACACATTTAAGCATGTATGTCATGAACAAACTGGCCTCAACCAAGAACTAGGCATGACAATATCTTCTGTAGACATGCAATTTCTATATTTTCAGTTGCCACACTATTCAGAATTGTTTTGTTGGCTAATGTGACTTTTGATCATGAATATCTAATCCAAATTGACCATTACTGTAATAATGTTATCAATACAGTTAGGATAACTGCTGTCATAAATGCTACTTGTAAAAAAAAAACATTGCAGTACTGAGACAAGTAAAATACTGTGTTAACTGGTTGACCAAATCTGATTCATTAAAAACATCATGTCCTTCCAGTATCCATTACAACACTAAGCACTTGGCCCCAATCACTTACCATGTGGAGATACTGTAGTCACACACACTTGCAATCAACACAAACATTGCACAAATTATGGTCCTGATAAAATGGCTTTATAACATGAGGTTTTTGTTCCCCTTTTCTAATATATTTGCATGACAGTATCACAATTACTTCCTCCCACATATCAAAACATACACTTACTGTATACAGCATATGCAATGCCAATGATACTTGTACGCATGACTGTGTAAACCCCAACAATGACAAAAACACCATTAAATGACATAATACATTGTATTTTAAAACAGCAGCATCCTGTAATTGAGTTAAACACATAATTATGTCTGGACATAGTCTTTCATAGTGGAGCACAAATAGTTAAATTCTGTACACTTAACAGGAACTGGAAGCCTTTGTTGCAAGCTCTGAATAATCATTAACTTGTAACTAAACTAAATAGTGCACATGCCAATGTTAATCCAGTCCGCTCGCATGGCATATCTAACATCTTTGGTTCCAAAACATTGCCTGTGCTTAGACAATGTATAGTTCTATAAAATATACACCGTGAACCTTTCTTCACATGACTGTAACAGTACATCTACATGCAGTTTCCACAGAAATTTTTCTTACCACCCCAAGAAGATTACAATCTGAGAAACTGGTGGCTTTTAAAAATGGCAAAAAACTCATTGCACAAGTAAGACATAGGAATGCTGTTGTGGCTACAGTGTTGCTTCAATCATATGCTAGCAACTATACAGTACAGACTACAGAGGTTCAACAACAACACAAACAGTTAAAATGTAACCATGGGCAATGGAATTTTCACTATTTACAAATGTGAATATGGACACAATTAGATACTTGTCAACACACAATTTCATAATGGCTCTTTCTCCACCTTTTTTAGTCGACATCTTATGATAGTCTTCTCTCAGCCCATCAACCTAAGATACCATCATCATCAAACTTTTAGTTTCATACACTTTCTCAGCTACATGTACAACCTGAACTTCAGCATTGTCTGTTAACTCTCACTTCATCGTCCATTTTCCACAATTGAAACAAAGACCATATTTCATATCATAGATTATCTGATATATACACATCTTGCTTTGGAGATCATGTAGAAAGACATCACTATATCCTGGTCTTTCAGATTTAATAGTTACATATGCCTGTGTTTTGTAGCGTATGTTAGAGCATACACCTAAAACCATTCATTTACTACATTGACTACAGCAAGTGCAGCTGCACCAAGGGAGGCAGAAATGGCCCATACTGCAAACTTCAGCGCCAGGTTTGTCGGCTTTCGGAGTTGTACCGTCTTCACGTCCCCGTTCTGTGCGGTACCGTTGCCAAATCGCCGCCGCCGCCGAAGCACAGTATCTGGTTTCTGATTGGTGGCCATCTCAAAGTCCTCATAACAACTGATTGTGGTGCTGTTTTGAAAGGGGAATAAATAGGACAATGCAAACTCAATATAACACTCATCTAAGCTGATACAGATACTAGTAGTATACTGGGTGTATACACTATCAAACATACAAATCATGGCCTATTGTTTATGTATTTAAAGTAGCATATACCGTAGGTTTTACTCAACTGCTCAAGTGCTGGTATAGCTGAAGCCATTGGTATTAGACACTTCATAATTTGTGGTAAAATATCATCAAGAAAGATGACTTAGACCAAAACATGAACTCATGTTTCCTAAGGACTGACCTGGATAAGAACTCCAGCTCTGCCTCCTTGGCCAGCATGGAGGGTGGGTACTGGATGAACAGGTCCCCTGCACGACTGACCAGGTGTTCAAACGGCAGGTCCTCGGGCAGGCGGGACAGGGTGTGGTGCACCATGGTCATCTCACAGTCCACTCTCAGGATGTCTTCACTTCTGTACAGGACTATCTGTGGGGTTAAAGGGGGATGATTTTCATCAGTACCTATCTCAACTGTACTGTATGGCATCAATCTGACAAACAGGTGGAAGCATTGCCAACTAGTATGCACTATACCACAGTGACTACTTGTGAAGACCCATTCAAACTTCAGCTGATGAATGTCATTACTGTGTATCTGCCTTGGGGTTCATGAAATATATCTCAAACACTTAGGGCCTATCTTCATGACAAGCAGTAGGTAATGATAACACCAGGCAAGTGTAGTTAATAAAGTATTAAAAGACTGACCTGTGCTGCTAGGTAGATGGGCATGAGGGGATGGCAGGCCAGGAAGAAGTCATATAACCGGACAATGTGCCTGATGTCTGTGAGAACGTGGCCGTACCATGTGATTAACCAGCTCAGGGCAAAGATGGTGCCCACATCTGACCTGTTTGGGTGACATAATAAACAGCATTAGTTGAACCATTCTTTTAAGAAAAATGGAACAGTTTACAGGTAGACTGTTCTATACAAAAAGTTTACACCCTCTTCCTTTGAGTCCTGCTCTCTTACATGTACATCCTTCATCCCACTCTCTAGAACAGGCAAAAAAAATGGGATATTTTTCCATACCTTTCCAGAAATTCCCTTAGTTCAGGGTGGGCTTTACCCACTATTGGCATGAGGTAGCCCAGGATGTGACGTGTCCTGTCCATAGACTCATCCATGAAGTCCCTAGTGACGGTAACAAAAATTTCATACTAATGAACTACCATAAAGCACAACTATACACTATAATATGCAACAGCAATGACAAAGCAACAAAATGCCTTGAAGATAATCATGTAACTTACCGAACGACAGTTTGATGTCTGTAAAAAAAAGGAAACTGTAATGTATAATGAGAACCTACCTCAGATGGTACTCTGATAGTTTGTCCATGATGGCAAAGGCAAGATCCTCTCCTACTACCAACAGGAAGGTCACACAGATATCGTGGTAGCCCTAGGAAGAACAACAATGTCATCAGCATCTAGAATATAAGAGGTACCGGTATGTAACAGTATATTACTACATGTATTACTGTTTTATTTTCTTAAGGCCAGTCAGTAATAATATGAAGAGGAGACAGTAGTCTTTAACAATCAATGCACTAGGCCTAGCTCAACCCTTTCCCTTCTGGTAATGACTCGGATTTAAAAGCTTTGTGGACCAGAACTGATACCGTCTTTGGAATACCAACACCCCTCTTGGTATTGATAATGGGATAAAGGACTAAGATAAGTACATGTAGCAGATTCTGATATCAAGTAGATCAAACCTTTAGATCCCTTAATCTTATGATATGGTGGGCTTAGAAAAATGATAATCTAGATCACATTCAAGTACAAGTTTTTGAGAATCCTATTCTACAAACCTGATAGTAGTGAAGCTCTGGGTGTCTGACAAGAACTCTGAGAATGATGTCCACCAGTTGGTCCTGTAGTCTTAACCTCTGTTCTTCCTTCATGTCTGAAAAGCAAATCCACATATCAAGTACAGTCAGACAACAGCATTAGTTCTGAATTAGATCTCAATAGGCAGAAAGGTAATATATAGATTGTTCTCATTACTCTCAAAGCATAGCAACAAAAAATAAACTATCAAGGATGTTTAATACTCACTGGTTGGGAATCTTCTCATTGATCTCTCCACATCAAGAACAACTTGTCGGTAGTCCCTGTGGGCTTTTATGTTGGCTGGAAAATGAGAAGAGTATACTGTGAAAAATTCATTTTATTGCACTTTACGACCAAGTTATGAACATTTCATCAGTACTGTGAAGTAGGAATTTTGCTCCAACTTACAGCATTTTGTAGTGTTCTGTTGTACATTTATCTGTTGTAAACTTGTCCATATCCTCCAAGCAGTGTACTTTGTCAATTAGCCTGACTATATCTGCGCTCCTAGCGGCCGGCCCGGTATTACACCAGCCACCCCCCAGAAGCTTGATGCCAGATAGCTGTAAGCATCTGGGGGCGGCTGGTGTAATACCGGGCCGGCCGCTAGGAGCACAGATTTAGTCAGGCTACTTTGTCAATGTGGCAGAATCAAACCAAATAGAAGTTCCAAGTGACAAGTAAGTTTCTGCTTCTAATCAATCTGCTGCACTTCAGTCTCTAGCCAAGACAAACATGACTAGTAGTAGGAGAGACAGACACATACCTGGCTTGGGAGGAATCTCAAACACGTTGACGTTCATCAGTTTTGGCCAGGCTTTTCGTCGCAGGTCATCTCGGAGTAGACCGCCATCGCTGATGGCCAGCCTCCTGAGGTTTGCGATGTCCGGGGGATCACTGCGTATGGCTTCCTGTATGGCCTTGGCCTTGTGCTTCTTATCCGTGGGGATCTTAAGGTCTGCACTGCCATGGCTACCACTGCTACCTGTGCTTCCTGCATGATCAGATGTAAAAATAAATGTTGGATGCATTTATATAACATTTGCAGGGATACAGGTTTCTGCACTTTGTAATCACAGTTACTGTAGAAAAGCACTCTTATTAGCTGTGGAGACGTGATAATTGTTTGAGTGACTTGACTGTAGACATACAACAAATGACTCATCATGGGGACATGGTACCATTCTATGGCCCATCAAGATAACATACTTTGTAAAATCTAATAATTCTAAAATGAACTCAATAATAGCAATATTTGTACTCATGGGAAGCTCCAGAAGCTACCCTGCTTCAGTTACCATAATTTCTTTTCAACTATGTCATAACTATGTCAGACATTTTGTGAATGGTTACATTATCATGTACAACAGGTCAAGTAGCGAGCTATCTGATTGCATCATCAAAATGGGTCTAAATGCAATTTCACCTCCTCACAAAGTCCATAGTCTAGACAATCATGAATAATAGATTAGGATCTGAGACTGATAACGGGTTGTGTTGCCTCACTGGGATAATTTGTTTAAACTCACTGCGTGTCACGTTAATGTGAACAACACATTCAAGCAGCTCTTACTGCTCTCAGATTTTCCGAAGATTGTCGTTCGATTTTACCAGAGTGATTCTGTCTGTGTGAATGTGTGATTCACCATCCTCCTCACACGTATGTAACACGCCCAGCCGTGGGGGCGGGGTCTTGATAGATCGAAACGAACAGATTTTGTACGTTAAAAATCATTTGTTTCTTTGCACATGAAGATAAAAGAACTTAGAACACAGCACTTTTCTTTCCCTTTCAGATCTTATCTACCTTTCTGACTCATGACCAACCTTCATATGCTATCATCCGATCAGTATCCTACTTATATCTTTAGCCTATAGCCTTGATCATCTCTTGACGAAACGGTAGGTAACGGTAGACGGAGAAAAATATGTTGCGTTTCGAAAGACCATACCTTTCCTCTTCGAAAGCCCCTTCTTCTTACCACGAATCTTCCCTTTCTTTGAGCTCAGCGACATCGGCCCTTTTCCTCCGACATCTCCACATCCCAAAATTGTTGGTAAAGTCCGAAAAAGTCGTGAAAATTCGAGGAAATTTGTCCACGAACGCAGATTACTTCACCACGGAAGCCATCTTTGTTCGCAGTGCACCATGGGAAGGGTGGCTTCCGTCATGCCTTGTGTGAGGTCATAGGTCACATGCAAATGAGCAAAATGGCAACAACCGCGGAAGAACGAAAGCTTCACCGTCGGACGAAGTCAACGTCTTCTGTAGAAGATAGGGAGAAGGTTAAGAAGCAAAAAGAAGCAGAGAAAGATAGACGAGAGTTTTACGAAAAGCCGTAAGTATTTTGTTTCCTCGCAACAGGACCAGCAGGGTCGCGTTATTCAAATTCCCATACGCGCGACACTTCTGAGCTCGCCTTTCTGCTGAGCTTTCATTTCTGCTTCAACTAGCTGAACTTGAATTCTGTTTATTTTTGCTGTATAATTCCAGCAACTCCTGTATATATTGTGTGGTATTTCTATCAGACGTATACCTCTATTTTGGACCATTTGTTCACAACATGACTTAGCCTAATTATATTATACACCTATAGCCTTAAAGCGCTGTGATTATGTAACATAATATTACATAAATGTTACACCGAGTGTACGCGAGTTGAGGCACGTACTAGTAACTG